TGAGAGCTTCATGTTTGTTTAACCATTTTCAATATTCATAGAAAAGATAAGTCAAGCGAGCCTTCCAAAAAAGTATTATAAAATAATATAAAAATTTTTTTCATCAATTGTGTAACGATTTTATGACGTATCAACGGTTCCTCCTGTTCTGCAGTGGGCAGTGCAAGGACCTTATTTATGGTAGCTGGGCTCCACGATTGTTGTGGCAATGCAAGGACCCACCTAAAATAATAGGGCTCTGCGGCCGTGCAAAGACCCGATTGAATAGTACAATCATTACAGGCCGATTCTCTTTTAGCTATGTTTCCCTCCTTGTGGGCCGTTTTCTTGTCTGGAATATACTGGTTTAGTTAGGAATGGCACGGGATCGTATTCAGGGAGATTGATTAGTAGGAAGGAATAAAGTAGTACCAATTGGTGTTAATTTAGTTTTCTAAGCATAGGTTTCTAAGTGTAGGTTTTCTAAATATCGTAGAGCTTTAGAGATAGCGAACGGATTTCCCATATGTTCTTCAAATTTGTTTAATAAAGTCATCTGATTGAGTAATAATAATGCTCGATTATGAATAATGACGATCCTGTTAAGACATTAATTATACAAACGATCAAATATCGCAATAGTTACAGTTTGGCGATGATTATGAAGTTGGCTGATTTAACACAGCCAATCAAATCTGATAAAGGTTATATCGGCATGACCAGGCATTATTTTATAATAAAAAAAAAAATAAATAAATAAAAAAATAAAAATAAAATAAAAATAAAATAAAATAAAATAAATAAAGTAAATAAATATATAATAAATATTAATATTATAAGGATAGGAACGATTAATTCCTTTTTACTTGTTTGACTTCATGTTTCTCTCATGCTACATGATTGAATTCCTGATTAGGATTAACCGCCCTTGACTGACATATCTCTGCTTAGCCATATCTGTTGGCTTACGTCAACTTAAGTATATTTCATTATAATTTTATAACATTAAATACCGAAGAACAAGCCCTACTACTTTCTCTCCCTATCGCCCTCCCAAAATCAACCCCCTTACTATTTGAATATACCAATTACATAATGTCCATTAGCTCGACCTTTATGCGCCTAACCTTACAAAGATTCTAAAAAATAGCAAAAGCCTTAAACATTTAAGTATTAACGATCATGTTAATACTTATTAACATTTTAAATGTAACTACGAGAAAATGTTACATTAAAAACATTAAAACGTTTAAAAATTAGATATGGATTAGAAATGGGAGTGGAAGTAGGGCAAATAAAATTTCTGCAAAAGTAATCATATAAATGGTTTTTTATTACGCATTCAAGTAAGTATAAATATTTGTTATATTTATAGACTTTTGGAATATACTAAATAATTTTATTATATTTTTATTAAATATTATTGTTACTGTACCAATTTTTTTTTAGGTTGACATTGATTTTAGCCAAAATGCAATAGATAATTACAAATACAGTATCCTACTTGTTATGTTAATAGGCTAAAACTACCAATGGCGAAGAAAACTTAGGGGACAATTATGCTAGCAATACTAGAGTTGAAGAATCTATGAGTTCAAGATTACATTCGAAAGGTTCATCATTATCAGTTCACAACGAATCAGTACATGCAAGAGACCATTTCTCATGGTTTTCCTAGGTCACAACTCTAAAACAAAAAACTGCATTATAAGTACCTATTTTTTTTATATGAAATCTTTATAGTCTTTGGCTCACCATCTATCCTACATACTTCTTGTAACTTAATTCCTAATAATATGTTTGTTATATAATTTTAAATATAAACTAATCTTTTGAAAAATTGGCTCAAAGAAGTCACCAAAGTGAATCTGACGATGACAACAGTGTTATATCAAAAACTAAAAAGAAAAATGCCAAGGTCTGATAATACAGTAGTTTTGAATTTACCGCGAATATTATTAAATAACTATGTAAACTTTGGAAACCAATAACTATAAAAATAAACCTCGTCACCCTGAAAGCCAAGAGTCGGTCTTAAAGAAAACTAGAAAAATGAATTATTTCAACAAATAACAAAAACTGGACAGTTGGGCTCCAGCAAGTTATACTTACTATGAACAATTTATACTGGCGAGCACTTAAAACAACCCCGTATCAAATAGTCTTTGGATGATCCGAACCTGATTTCAATTATTATTAATATTTAACTCTTTCAATTCACTATCTGTTAAATAATTATAATTAATATATTAAAGAATAATACAAAATAATAAATATAGATACCTTGATAAAATGATATAGTATAGCTAATAAATTTACTTTTGTAAATATCATCAGGATATCTGTAAATGTGTACTTTTAATATTTTTTAATATTTCATCAGATTTAGTTAGTTCTAATAAAATATTTTCGTCATTAATCCATTCTGTAAGGATTTCACAGACTTTTATTGCTGATGAACGGTTTGCTGTTTCCCTTTCCCAACATTTTTTCACCAAATTTATATAACACAGTGGCATGTTCCCAATAATTATCGGTCAAAATCATTGCAGCATATTTCAATTTGAAGTCATTGTCCAAATTCTCGATTATAAAATACTGGTTTTCCATATAATATTTCTCACATAATTATGCCAAATGAATAAATATCTGATGCTATTGAATAATAACCTCTATCTAAAGCTTCTGGTGCAATATGTGGCAAAATTCCGCAAATTCCACGTCTTTCTGCATTTAATGCTATATTTGCTGATATGTAAAGTCCCAAATCTGCAATATAAATGCTATGTAAATGATCTTGTAAAATATTACCGCTATGCAAATCTCGATGGATAAGTTCTTGAGAATTTATACTTCCATTTCAGTTGTGTCATAGAGTGAGGATTTTGACGCAATGAACCCATTGAAGCAAATTCTAGGACAAGGATATAATCTCCAGAATCATATTTTGATATTCCATAGCATTTTAAAAATGAAGGATGTTTGGAATTAATATCAACATTATGCCTTTAACTTTAATGATAAATTAAAAAAATAAAGTATTTAATGCAACATTTAATAATTCTTAAAGAAAATGATGAGCATATAAATAAAATTACTTCTTTTAAAAACTCTTCGTTATAAGATTTTGATCCATCGAACAATTTGAGCGCCCAAATATTTTGTTCTTTATCTAGCCATTTGGCATAAAATACCGTTGCAAATCCACCTTGTCCTATTTTTTTAATATCATAAACTCTTTATATGAAATCCACGATATTGGATATTTTCCCTCAACCAGTAATTTTTTAACATCATCATGTTAGAATTTTCTTTTGTCCATCTAAAAAAAAATTAACAAATAAATTTATACTATACCGAAAGTAAATTAATAAAATTACCCAATATCTTATTTTTTGTCCTAATTATTATTAGAAAATGAATGTTAAGAAATTAAATTATAGTAAAAATTAAATAAATAGATTATTTACATTTGATACCAATAGTCAACATTTTGTAAATCTCGCGAAATTCCAATCCCATTTCTATAACAATAACCAGGTTTAGACATTCCGTTAGTCTCTCTCATCTCGGCAGTTTTTTGATAATGAAGAAATGCTTTATAATTATCTTTTTCAATCCCAATTCTATTCGGATAGTAACGTCAAACGTGATATATTGAGCAAAAACCCAACTCATCAGATTTTTGAAAATGAATGAATGCCTTATATTTATCCATTCTAACTCCTATTCCGTCTTTATAACAGTATGCAAAATTATATATTGAAAAACATTTCCCATCTCAGCAGATTTTGATATTTAACGAATGCAGTAATTTCCAATTTGATTTATTGCATTAACATTTCCCATATCAGCAGATTATTGATAATTAACGAATGCCTTGTGTTCATCCTTTTGATAGCAATATCCAATTTGATTTATTGTCACGGAGTTTACTGGACTACCGTGTACTTCTTGACTTTACTAATGAGTCTTCACTCGCTTGGATAATTTAATCGATGACCGTGTATGGTCCTTCCACCGATAATGTATTCACACAGATAACAGTTTATTCACTAAGTGTCAAGGTAATTCCAAGAACATTTCCCCATTTTGGATCGATGCTTTATATTAATTACTAATACATATTTGCGTCACTGATTATTACATACTATCTCATCGTTCATGCAATCAATGTTTTAAACTTTTAATTTTTATGCAAACCCGAATCACGCCATTCATGCAAATCACGATCATGATGCCTGATTCTTGCGCTACGAATATCCGGGTACCAAAATCGACCACGACATTTATTGCACATCACAGCAGATTTTTGATAATTAACGAATGCCATATGTTCATCCTTTTCAACTCCTATTCCATGTTGATAGCAATATCCAAGGTTACTTATTGCACCAGCATAACCCATTTCAGCAGATTTTGATAATTAATGAATGCCTTATTCCATTTCGATAACAATCCACGAGATTATATATTGCAGAAACAATTTTCATCTCTGCAGATTTTTGATGCTTTTTGTTCATCTTTTTTGTCCCTAATCCATATTGATAACAACTTGCGAGATTATACATTGCAGAAGCATTTCCCATCTCAGTATATTTTTTATAATTAACGAATGCCTTTGTTTATCTTTTTTAACACCTATTCCATTTTCATAGCAATATCCAAGGCCATTCATCGCGCTAGAATTTCTCATTTCGGCAGATTTTTGATAATTAATGAATGCCTTACATTCATCCTTTTCAACTCCAATTCTAAATTCATAGCAACATCCAAGGTCATACATTTTGGCAGACTTTTGATAATGGATGAATGCTTTATGTTCATCCTTTTCGACCCATTTACCCTAATAATAACAATCTGCAGAACGTTTTGAATATAGGATTGACATGATCATTTAAGCAAAAATTGATAATATCATCTGTATTTTGTTTTTTTGTTTACTAGAAATTGTTCTAATATGTCAGGAAATCTTGGTCTTTCAATCTTTCTTCATTATACAGAATACACATTTCTTTAAAAATTTTTTCTGGCTGCTTAACAAATTGTTTTTTTGTAAATTGACATCTTGCTGCAAGAAAGAACGTGTCACATATGAAAACGTCAAATTTATTAAAGATTCCGCAACGTTTATTTATGTTGTTAGGTACAATTTCACATGCATATGTTCGTACGTGCATTTGTACGTTCGAATTAGGTGCGTTATTCAATTTTTCTTTTCGTGTTTATAGATTCCGGACCCAGAACTGAGAGTTTATAAATCGTAATTGCTGCGTAAAATCTGCCGGCAGACTTACCGTAAGTGCTAATGCCCTTTTTTTTAATACGTGATTTTTTGTAATCCGTTGTCTTTTTTTTTTTAAAAAAAAAATTATGCGTATATTTTTTAAATTTTTTCTTTTTATTTCTTAATCTTTTTTTTGGGTTTACTACTCTGCACCATAGGTGTTCAGTACTATAAGTCCATAATTCTCAAAAACATATTAAGTAATTAAGGTTAGAGATACTCAGAACCCAAACCCTATGTAATCAAAAACATATCGGCGGATTTGTGGAATTTAATAAATAGAAAAACCCATGAGCCGTATCTCTGGTCAAGTTTGCAGATCATTTGGCCAGCTTTGAAGTCAAAGAATTTCAAAGCTGGCTAAATGACCTGCAAATTTGACCAGTGCTATGGCTCATGGGTTTTTCTATTTATCAAATTCCACAAATCCGCCGATATATTTAAAATATTATATATAATCCTCGTATATATCTTAAATTACACCTTAATCCTAAATTTTAACAAAAAACATATTAACACCAACAACACCATAGGTGCACAATCTGCTTATTATTATTATTATTATTATTATTATTTTGTTTTAAAAAAAAAAAAAAAAACTCTAAGTAATTTCGTGAACTTAGTTACGAGTATCGACACGGTGTTGGTGTTAAAAAAAAAAAAAAGATGAAAGAAGGTTTTTGAATATTATATGAGTAGCTGAGTTAGGAGATCCAGTTGCAATGAATGAACAAAGTAAGAGGGTAACGCTATAGGGATTTGTAATATCGGTTTTCGTTATGTAAATGGAAGGGGATTATAGTAAAGCATTTGAATGCTATAAAAAATCTGCTAATATGGGTACTGAAAGTGCAATAAATAATGTTGTTCAATATTATCGGTACGAAGAGAGATATTCAGATGGCAAATTATTGGTTCACAAAATATAGAAACTAATAAATCACCATACCATAACAATCTTGAACTTAAGAGGGTATTAAACGATGAGAGATTTAAATTATTTGGATTTATTGTGATGATTCAGAAATATCAAAGAAAAGAGAAAAGAGGATTTACAACTGTATATTATTCACGTTGGTTAGAATATGAAAAATGTTACACTTAAAGAGATTCATGATTCAAATGAAGAATTACTGTAAAATTGGTTATGAGAGTCCTTCTTTCTTGGAATATCAAGAAATAATTATAGTGATATGTTGTTGTTATGGATTATGTATTAAAAGGATCGTTGCAGCAAAACCTTGCACAAATACCACAATTGGAATGGAAAGATAAATTGAGTCTCTTGTACTGTATAGCATTGGATTTCGAGTCAATTCTCGCTGGAACTCGTTCACAAAGATTTACACTGTGGAAACATTTTGCAAAATATACTGTAGTATATAGCACTGTGGTTAATTTTGATCCGACGCAAATTTTAATTTGACGTGCAACATATAAGTTATAGAGTGTGCATTTAGAGAAGGTGCACTTAGAAAGTTTCACTGAATATTTAGTGCTTATAAATCCATTTTATTATTAAATTAAACCTGTACATAAAGAGCTATATACACTTTATTCTTTAGCTTGCGCAGAAATTTATAGTAAAGACCATTCTTGACATTTAAACTTCACATCTCTAAAGTCAAAGTTTTTAGATATTACTCGAGCTAGCGAGCTTTCGAAATTTTATTTTAATTAACAGCGATAATAAAATATGCATTTTATAAATACTGATAGCACCGAAAATCAAAACATATTTGTCCCAAGAATCTGATAGCAACAGCTTGTGAAACTATACAAAGAAGGTACAAATACGACGAATAAAAAGATACAAAATTCTGCCGAGTCAATTATACAAAAGAAAAGATATTTAATCATAATTTAAAGGCGAATTTTATGTATAATATATATTTCAATTATAAATTTAACTTAAGGTTTCTAAATAAGCGGTTTGACCCATTCCCGATTATTAGTCATTAAACAAATCGATTAATATATATATATATATATATTAAATTTATAAATTCAGCAGAACTAAGTATGAAAGTATTCCATGATCAAACACAAAAAGTGTTTCCTGAATCATCTGCTTCACAGCCAGGCGTCTTACAGTCATCGCTAGATGCACATGGATCACCTAGATTACAATTATTCTTCTTGCCTCCCACCAAGCAACCGTTGGATAATTTATGTACACAGACAAAATTTTGACAAGACTTGAATACGCAATCATTATTAGAGCTGCAAGCAGAGCCTGAATGGCAATCACGTTTTCCTTCACCTGTCGAACAATCTACGCAATTAAAAGAATTTCAAGTTTTAAAAATAGAAGCCATCATTTACTATGGATTTAACGAAAGCACTAATTTTAAGTGATCATTCACCTCCTTGATCCACTCCTTTAATAAGTGGAGTCCACGCTAAACTAAGCATTAGGCTCAAAATTATACTAATGATAATGGTAGAGAATATGGATTTCATGACGGATGTGTAGTTAATATCTTAGATAAAAATACGTACGTACATTATATATATATATGTTTGTGGTTTCAGCGGTGGTGATCATTTAAATCATTTTTGCGATCGTAAAACATGGAGCGTTGATCAAACAATTTCTTTAAGGAAAGTTTTTAATAAATTATCGTTATTGGAAATACTGTAATGGTAAATCCGATGGTCCTAATGTAGTACAGTAATTTCAATTTTTACGGATGATCATAGCTTCTTTACATGCCTTAGTCTATTGTTAATGCGGTCTATATATTACAGTGCTCGCAATATGTCTTGTCTATAAATTTCGCAGGCATTATCCAGGTTACAACTTCACAAGTGAGTGGATATAGGATCTATACATAAACAATATAAGAATTGATGTTTCTGTATTTAATTTTTAAATTTGAATTAACCTCAATTTCTTGATTTAAATACTCCGAGTTTCAAATTTCCAACCTAAGTCGTATATGCCCATTGCTTACGTAAACGGGTTTTAGTCAGTGTTGGAAATCCAGACAATTTTTTGTTATATGTTTATGTTTATTAATAAAAATTGGAAATTGATTTCTACAATCCCGGAGATTTAATGCGTACACATCAGAACAGTGTTGTTAATGAACATTGTTCATGAACAAATGAACAAATGAATAAATAAACAATGTTTATTGTTTATTGTTTAGTGTAGCGCAGTCTATTTTTAATAATTTAAACTTTATAGTTATTTACTTTACTGACCTTTATTAAACTTACTTTACCAAGCTTTATTAAACTTTATTAAACTTTATTAAACTGTTAATTTCTATTGCTAAATAAATTAAAAAAAATAAATGTATTATATTAAAAAAATCTTTTCAAGCTTTTATTTGTTTTCATCATGTCTCGCTTAGGTGGCAAACCTAAACATCGTTTAAGTGATCATTTTCTTGTAATTGATGAAAAAGTTAATAGTACCAACAAAGCCACAATTTGCAATTATTGTATTGAGCGATGTGGTTATTCAGAAGCATACTTAACTAGCAAAGTCACGAACATTGTAAATTCTTGTATAGCATATCTTCATAAATGTGAAGCTTTTGCAAATCGATATTCATATGAGAAAGCAAAACAGATTCTTGTATCTAATGCAACATTAAAAAAAAGAGAATCATTAAAGCGAAACTGGCAAGAATTTATTTTAGATAATGATAGTAATGAGGATGATTCTGTGCAATCATTTGTAACAAGCACTAGCTCTACTACAAATTCTGGCTTAAATTTTAAATTAATTTACCAGTTTAGTGATAAAGATCAGTATATATTTAATAATTTACTTTTTTGTATGACAGTTTCAAATGGTTGGGCATTTAGATGGGTCAATAATCCAGAAACTAGAGCTCTTTTTTCATGGCTTAGTAAATTTATTCGATTGCCAAGTCATCAAACATTATCTGATAGAATTTTAAAAAAAGCTGCAGCAGAAATTACACAAGGACAAATTACAATAGCACAACAAGATTTAAATGGCATAACTGTAGCTTTCGATAGTTGGAAAAATATAATCAAACAAAAGTTAATAGGAATTATATTTATTACATCAAAATCAGATGTATTAATTTGGGATACAGAAGATATTAGCTTTTCAAGAGAGTGAACTGGAGAAGCAATTAAACATCATGAAGAACTTCTTGAAAGAGCAAATAATCAAAATATTAAAATACTTGCCTTTTTTACTGATTCTGCAGCAGAAAATGCAGCTGCAAGGTATGATTATAAATATATTATATTTTATAATATATATTAATTTTATTTATTAATTATTAATAAATATTTATTTTAAGGTGAAGACTTCAAGTACTAAGACGAAATTTATTATATATACCATGTTTTGCTCACCAAGCAAATTTATGTGTAGCTGTTATTTTTAAAAGCAATCCAAATTTTATAAAAGCATCAAAAAATGCTTGTTTAATTCTTGCTTTTTTTAATTCATCAACATTTTGGCTTGGGCACTTTCGATATGAACAAGAATTAGCTTATAATGGAAAATGTTTTACATTAATTCGCTCTGGAGAAACTAGATAGAACTCATATTACTATTGCTTTAATAGTATTTTGAAATCAAAAATTGCATTACGGGTAATTATAAATATAATATATATTTATATATAATATTTAAATATATTTACTAATAAAATATTAATATATTTTAGACTTTTGTTGAGAAATATGATATTAATAATACTTCTGTCGAATTAATAGCAAAAAAAAAATTTTTACCTGAAAACTTTATTAATATACTTAAAGATAATGAATTTTGGTCTAATTTATTTCAATTAAAAGAACTTCTTTTGCCATTTTGTTTTGGTCTTGATAAGTTACAAAGAGATAATGCAAGACTCTTTGAAGTATTGCATTGCTTTGGATGGTTTATGAAAATTATTAAAAATTGCAATAATTTAAGTTTTCGAGATGCTATGATTAATCAGCTTGAAAGATGATGAAAAACATGGGAACAACCTTTATTGCTCCTTTTATTTTTACTTCATTCTAACTATCAGCATGAGAAGTTTACAATTATGGCTAATATTAATTATGTTAGCTTAGGAAAATGGATAATATATTATTATTCAGCTTGGTTTGGAAATATACCTAATTCAATTCTTTAAGAACTTGATATCTATTGCAAGCAAATATATCTTTATGATATAACTACATTCAAAAATTTTAAAGACAATATACTTAATTACTGGGAATTTATAGCATCAAATTCTCAACTTGAACTACCAAAACTTGCATGTCATATTTTTTCAATTGCAGTTATTACTGTATCAGTTGAATGATTATTTAGCTCAATGGGATTTCTTTATACATAAAAAAGAAGTCAATTAAGTAATGATAAGATTCTTGCAATGTGTCAATTACAAGGAGAATTGCACCGAATACACCAATTAACTGCACTTAAAAAAATAGAAGATAGCTATAATAATACTAATACAGATGAACAAACTAATATTTATCAAGAATCTAGTAAAATTTATGCAAAAAAAATAAATGAGAATAATGCCAATAATGAAACATTTTTTGAAGATTTGGATAATGAAAGTGATGATAAAATTGAAGATGAAAATGCTATGCAACAAGTTATTGAGAAATAGATGGAAATATTAGAAGATGATCCAACTGAAAATATTGAACAAGAAGGTAATACAATTATAGAAAATAACCAGTCTTTGGATGAAATACTTGCTCAAGAACATCCTTGTCAAGATTGCAATGCAAAATAGTTATTAGAAAGCTTGTTTATTGCTGAATTAGAACCTCCGATTTTTATAAACAAGGTAATATGTATTAATCAGTGTTGGGCAAATTAGTGGTCGACCAAAATTTTACTGGTCAAATTGGTCTGGTCAAATTGGTCAAATGGTCGAACTGGTCAAATTGGTCAAATCAATTATATAAATATATATATACATTATATAATAAACTATATTTAAATATACTATTTGACCAATTTGACCAGTACAGATCCTTTGACCGGACCGGTCAAATTGGTTAAATTGGTCTGGTCCAATGGTCAAACTGGTCTGGTCAAGCTAACACTGGTATTAATATTTTAATTATAAATAATATAACTACTTATATAAAGATTAATTTTTTATAACTTATAATTTGATTTATATTAGAATTTACTATAAAATATTTCTTTAAATGAACCAAAGCTAAGAAGAATCATTATAAAAAGATTATTATGTCGAATGTAAGTTTTATTAATTAAATAACATTCTTTTAGATTTTAATTCTATTCAAATTTAATGTTCTAATTAAATTAAATGTCTTAAAAATTGTTCGCTTTACTACTAATACTTACTGCTAGCATATACATACACTATAGTTTATTATTTTTGCTAATAATAATAATTTACTACTAAGACAATTTCTTTAAATCATAATAACAACTTCATAGTTGTCAAAGTTTTTTTTTGTTTAGAAAGATCTCTAGTAAATAAATATAGATTTGACATTATAAATAACTATATAATTAATATTTGATAAGTTATATACCTCATTTTTAGGTTTGCAGCTACTAGCTCTTCAACAAAAAGTATTTGGTAATATATCGGGTAAAGAAAATATAAAATATCCAATTAAAATCTGTAATGTGATCGAAATTTTTATTAGCTGATAGCATATACTTGTTCAGTATATTTGTTTAGTGAAACAATGAACAGGTTGTTTATTTGTTCGGTTTATCAAGTTGACAACACTGCATCAGAACACTATATAATTATTCTAAAAATCCACTCAAATCAGATTAAGAAAAAAATTAATAGTCTAATATAATGATAACAAACCTAGTATCGCCACTAAAATTAGATATATGGAGCTTAAATTCATTTACCGATAATAAATATTATTAGTAATATTACACTGTTATTTTATTACATAATAGTAAAAGTAATCCAGATTTGAGTGCTTATCATATTTCTAAAAAATTTTTATTATGTTTATTTTCTAAGTTTCAATAGAAATAATAAAAAGCCTTGAGGGCAAAAAATCTCAAAAAAAAAAAAAAAAAATATTTAAAATATAAAACTTAACAATGCACAAGTTAAAAAAAATAATCGATTTAGTAAACTCCTAAAATCGCATATAAATGAGGGCAACTTTTATTAACCAAAAATAATATATTTTATATATAAAAACTGAACTTAAATGTAAATACATATTAATCATTTGAGATTTGGAGGTAAACACATTTTAAAAATACTTATTACAATTTAGACATAACCAGATTCTATATTTACAATGATTAGATAAATACTTTGAACAATTTGATTTGAATAAAAAAAATCATGGATTATTTTTCTTTTATAGTAAAAGTAGTGATTTCATAAGTTTCATGTTAATCAAAACAACACTCAAGCTTAGATCAAATTCTGAGCAACGGTTACATATCTGACTTTGGTGACGACCTAGGTGAGTTATATAAAGATGGAAAATGGACCTCCTATTTTTGAGTTCCCGAAAGCACCAGATTAATCAAATCATAAAATTTCAATTTTTTTCCCCTATATTTAAGTAATAAAGTTTTTGTTCAAAAAAGTTTTACAAAAAAATTAAATAAATAAATAATAAAAATTATTATATTTAAATAGTATTTGATAAGATCTATAAATTTATAGTTAGTTTCTAGAGCTTTTATTGTTTTTTAAAAGGATTTTCATTCCAAAAGACGCTGAAAAATCAATATTTTATTTTAATTAAAATAAAAAATCCTTTCTTAAACTATAAGTAATTTTAGAAAATATTTTTTTTTATATTGCATTTAAAATAATGGTTATATAACAACTTTATATTATAAAAAAAATTTAAGTTGCTTATAACCTTAAGGTGTATAATTTTAAATAAAACTTTATTAAATAACTTTGTAATTTGTTATGAAATTCGTACTTGTGTGCATTAGAAATAAAATTTTTAGCTTCAAAAACATACAATATCCTAAAAATTTAGAAAATTTAATGATAATTTTTTTTTAATAAAATATTTTAAATAGTTTGATTGGTTTTGTCTGATCCATAATATAAAAAAGAGAGATACCTGTGTCAGCAGATGTATAAATCGCAAGGATCAAACTTGAAAAGGAAATACAGAAAGCTAATTAAAAATGAGTCATTAACTTTGTCTCCAATTTTCATGAAAAATCAATCAATATTCTCAGAAATTGTAGATTGCGGGAATCGGAGATTCTTTAGATTTTAAAAAGTTTACTAATTTTGAATAAATGTAAATACAACTGATTGAAAATATGGATTAATAGATAATTTTAGAATCTCCCCAATAATCATCACAAAAATCATGGGGCCACAACTTTTTTAAAAGCGCTATAAGTGAGCATAAGAGTTTAATTTAAAATCGACTAAATTAAATAAGGTCATCAAAACATATTTAATATTTAGAATTGTTTAGTGTTAGTATTTCTAATATGGGGGTGTCAGTAGAAACCAGGCAAATTGTTTCTAAGTAAAATTTTTTTAGACTTTAAGTTCAAATATCTCAACAACTCTTAAACCTAACTTGATAAATTTTTTTTTATTTTAATGCTATTTAGTTATAAAATTAAAATAAAAAAAACTTTATTAAGTTTGGTTTAATAGTTGTTGAGATATTTTAATTTAAAGTTTTAAAAAAAAACTTACTAAAAACAATTTGCCTGGTTTCTACTGACACCCCCATATGTCCAACATATTATTCTGATGTAAAGGCTGATTCAGGTGTAATATTAGTCAATGGAGCTAACGCAATTGATTATGATGTCTCATCAAAGACTCGAAATACTTTGAAGCTTTAAGGATTATCCTAATATAAAAAGATTTGTTTTTGGATGTCCTAAAATTCCTAAATTGTCCTATATTTTGACTAATGTGAAAGTACTAACGATTGACTTAAATACAGATCTACAACGTTATTTCAGTCATGTGTGATGATGGAATAAATATGTTAGTCATTAATATCCCTTAAACCGTTTGTCATTTGGACACGAATTTGTGTCCAAATTTTCTTATGCTCACTAATATTACAACTGTGACAAAATGCAAGAAAACATAATATAAAACTTTATACCACAATATAAAAATAGTATT